TGTTTTGAAAAAAGTTTTTATACTTCTCCCAAAAGCAAGTTAAACAGCAAAGTTACAAAGAATAGACTAACTAAAATTTTAATACTCATGTGCAATTTGACATTTATTATGTTGACATGGTGTGATAAGTTGTTTTTTTCATAATATCTTCATTGATTTACAGACAAGAAAGATAATTCATGAAGCGTCAGTCAAGGACACATTACAAAAAATGAGGGTATGGCAGACAAATACCTACCGGAACAAACTGCTCAATAAGCAGTACGTTTTGCAGTTTTCTCTACCCAGTGAAATACAGGTAAGCAGAAATTAATGTTAGTAATATCTTATTATCTTTTATGGTTTAGTGTACATACTGTTCTTCTGACATCAATTAAGTAGCTACTAATAGAAGGGGGAGGGGAAGTAGCTCGTTTTACTTACAAATTAAGGAATCTGTCTAACAACCAGTTCAGATAACATAAGTCCATCTGTCCATCTGTCTTTTTAACCACCACAACTCAAAACTAATGCTTTTCAAGAGCTTGACAAAATACAAAGTAAGACTGAACATTTTACATTCGGTCAAGTGTTTACACATTATCATAATTCATTTCATAATATAATTGAGGACTAAAATGCACCTTTTACAATGATGTACAATATATTGAGCTTGGTAGATACTTTTTAGTAGGCTGGTTGAACAACAAGAGATAAACACTGGAAGTTTGGTGTTAAAATACTTTTTGTACCATATTTTTTTTGAAGGTAAGTAGATTCATAAACTCACTCTTTCTTTGTCTCAACAAGAACACTGAATGAGTTTGCAAAGAAACAAATTGATTCTGGGATACAAACAATTATGCCATTAGGTTAGTACTCCCTAAAGTCTGTAACTACATTTAAGGGTATGTCCAATGGCCAACCTTCATTTATCTCAAAAATTCTTGAAAGAGTAGTTGTAATAAAGCTAACAGATCATCTGCTGAGGAACAGCTTATTTGAAGAGTTTCAGTCAGGTTTCAGAGCTCATCACAGTACAGAAAGAGCATCAAAGAAGTTTACACTTATGATCTCTGTTAGTAGGGATGGGTATCGTTTAGGTTTTATCCGATACCAGTACCAAACCGGTACTTTTGAAACGGTGC